CCCCTGCCATATTTTTCATCTCTTTGTCTTTTGCTTTAAATTCTAAGAGCTCTCCTCGATTTCGTCTTCCATCTTCATTACTGAGTTTTAAAAAGATTTTGAGCGCCATGTTTTCAATTTCTAAAAACATTCTTTCTAGGAGTTCCCTGGTGGCCTAGTGGTTAGGATTCCAGGCCTTCACTGCTGTGGCCCGGGTTCAATCCCTGGTCAGAGAACTGAGATCCCACAAGCTGTGTGGCACAGCCAAATAAATAAATAAAAACGTTCTTTCTTGTTCTCATTGCTTCATTTTCATAGAACCTGCTTCTGTTTTATAGATGTACTACCTTCTTAGAACTCTTGGAGAATACTATTAGATTCCTAGAAAAAATCCTGTCTGTTCACAGAGTCATCTGCTTTCTTGAGGGTCAACTGTTCTGTTTGTTCTTCTTGACCCTCCTCTGATGTGCTATGGGTTTTCCTCTAGGGCTGTCATGATTCTTGGTTGTTCATCTTTCTAATGAAGGATGGGGTTGGTTAATTTCAATGGGTGACATGGGTGACCTCTGCTGTTTCCAGTCTCTTCCCCGAACGAGAGGGACAACGCCAAGCTTGGGTTTATCTCACTCAGCAGGCTTCACTTTAGGGGTGGCCCCACCTGAGCAAAGGGCAAAGGCAGGGGAGCTCCCTTCTGGCATGCCTACCCTCACTCTTCATGCTGTACTCCTTGTAGGCTGGCTGCTCTGTTTCTTCAGAGGCATTTTCCTGCCCAGAGCAAATTGCCTCTGTTACGTTGTATGTGTTGGTGGTGGGTGGATGGAAATGACCCAGAAAACTGTGCAGAAGTATAACCAATTAGCACTATTTCTCCCCTCCTCCCATTGCTACCCTCTACCCCAGCCATTTCTAGAAAAGCTCCATCCTAGAAATGACAACCCATTTCCTCTGCAGGCTTCCCCTGGGCCTGCCTCATCTGCTTTGACTTTTCTGTTAACACAATCCCTGCTGCCTTCCAGAAGTTCATCACAATCCATGGTCCACTGGAGTCTCCCCCTGCCTCCCATTCTCAGCGGAATATGCTGTAGGATTTCAGAAGAGATAAATAGAAGCTTGGGCACAGTCTGCCATCGAGATTCACCCTTTTGAGATCCTCACCCCTTCTAATGCTCTCATAGTTCACTGTCCGCGACAAATCCCCATTAGCTTCCTTTCTATGATTTATATCTCTAAAAATACCTCTGTTTAACATACAAGGTCCCATTCTATTTGACCTCAAGTAGAATATGCTCTGTCCTCCTCTTGTCACATTAAAAGTGATGTGCACTTTTTTCCCCCAGGTATTTACCCTGTGACTGTATGTACACTAAAGCCAGCACAATGGATTGTTTTCAGACAAGATGTTTTCTACTAAACTCTCAGAGGAAAAAAAACAAAAACAAAAAAACCCCTTCAACTGTAGTTGCTTGAGGTCCTAGGAAACAGCGTCCTCTAGAGAGCAATGTCTATACAGTCACTTTGGCAAGAATAACAACAAAATCTCCAGACAGGCGTCACAGTCTGCAAACTAGCAATAACTGGGGCACCAAATGCCTAGGCCCTACTCCAGACAGATTCACCCCCAATCTCCTCAAGTAGGACCGAGGCATCTGTAGTTGTTAAAGGTACTGGGTGGGTTAAGAACCACCCCTCTGGGACTTGAACCGTAGCTGGTACAGAGCCAATTTTCTTTGCTGGCTGAGTGCCCAGGGTCCAAAGGCATCTCAGAAATGCAGGTGGTACCCATGTAAACTTTAATGTATGTTCTTTATGTAGAGGTAGAGAATCCCAAGGCAAAAACTAGAAATGTTATCAAAGCTCTGTAAAACCCCAGTGCTTCCTTGGTGTCTACTGGGGAAGGCACCAGATGTGATCTTCAGCCAACCAGACTGCCCACTGGGTCAGGGCAGCCATGCCGGGGCTTGGTCCTCAGGCCCTCAGGAGGCCGACGAACAGCGACTGGGCTGTGCTTCCCACCTGGGTGCTGACCTGGCTCTAACTTGATTTTGGTTCCTCAGGTGAACCAGGAGGCTGGCTGTGCCCCCTTTTTTCCCCACACACAACCTCCAGCCTCCATTTTCTACTAAAATTCTATTGAAATCCTTTCTACCAAGTAAGGACTTATCTAGGGAGCATACCGGATGTTTGGTATTATAAGAAACCTCCTTGTAAGCAACTCCAAAGAGGATTATTTTTTTTAAAACAGTAGAACAAGAAGAGAAAACTCACCTCGCTAGTAGTCAAGATTGTGACATTATTTGAACAAACAAATCCTTGCTTAAGGAGTTTCCCTTTCTTGCCATCCCTAAATCTTAAAAATGATTTCTGTGGCTCTACATCTCCTGCCAGGATGTTTTCGCCAAGGATTCTTCTGCAAGGGCGTTTTGTTTTCAATGCCAGCCAGCAGTTCTGCTGAAATATAAACGATCTCAAAAACAAAGCCTTTTTCCTTTCCTTTCCTTTTAGGTGTTCCAGAAATTAAAGGATCTTAATTCCTGAGGCAGCAGGAGATAGAGTTAGCACCACTGTAAAAGAAAATTTAGGGAGGGCAGTAGGAGAACAGAAGTGACAGATCTCATGGGGACTCAGTGAAATGATGGAGCTGGAGAAGCTTATAACCACGTGGTGCCACTCAGTTTATACAAATTGGCAGAAACTCAGTTGTTTCCCCGATTTCTCCATTGTTTCCAAAACCACCTGGCTGCCCACCTTACCAGAGTAGTTTTGCTAGTTAAGCTTCTGATACTGAAACCATGACATTGACCAGATAATAAAACGAACTTACCTTTTCTACAGCTTTTTCATTAATTAATGGGCCTTGAGTAGTTCTCTCCTCAAATCCATTACCCACATGCAGGTTTGTTTTCATTGCCTCAGCAAATTTTTTCACAAAGGAATCATGGATACCCCTTTGCACCAAGAAACGGTTTGAGCAAACACAAGTCTAGACAAAAAGAAACAGACTCACACTGACAGTTTGTTGGAAGCTATTGACCCAACCAATAACCATGTGACTGCTGCTACCTCTGAATGTGAATGCACTTTCCCAGGTGATTCCTGTCCTGTGTTCTACCTGTTGTGTTCCTCCCCACGTGAGCTTGGCCCTAAAGACAAACGTGCTGAGTGCATGGACTTCTCCAAGCCCCTCTACACCCGCCACATCTCTGTGGTTAAACAGGTGAGCGAGGATAAATATCTGTGCACAAAAAACCAAAAGCCACCTAACGCAAGCTTTTTTGAATGGCTCCTATTGGAAAGAATAAAACCAACACAAGAAACCGTAACTCCCTGAGACAGTGATGCTGCAGTGACAGCAGAGCTAGAAGGAAAGGGATTCAAAGGCTAACTTACATCCACTAGCTTATTAAACCTTTCAAATGCTTGGCGGAATCCGAGCTTTTGAAAATGGATGCGAGACCATTCTTCCGTGTCAGCCTAAATTATTGAAAAGCCCTTTGCTTATTATTTTTTCTAATTAGACCTAATATTTTAAAAATATGTAATATAAACACATTACAGGAAATGTAGTTACCCTTGATACGTTTTCTTCTTGGCTTTTTTTTTTTTTGGCTTTTTTCTTAATCATGTATTTTTCTAATAGAAACAAGCCTATAGATAATTTTGTATCCTATCCATTTTTATTGGCTTAAAGCAATACACCCCAAAGTTGCAGCCTTATAAGTGTAACTCTGAAGGTTACACACCTTGCCGTTTTGTGTTTCTAAAAGGAAACATACCTGTTTCTGAAACAACCAAGCTTATTAGGTTATGTGAAAGGAGAAAAATTAATTACCAAAGGCCAAAACAAGGATGAAAGCTATTTAATATGGAATATTGTACAACATTTCACCCTTTTTTGCCCCCGATAACCTTTCAGGAGTTATCATTCCATTTCTGGAATGCATTTAAAACTGCTTAGTGATGGTACTCCAAGACAAAGTGCTTAAGAATATTGTATAAGAAGCCAGGATCCTGGCAACAGCTTGGATAGAAGTTGGGAGACCTGGCCCTAGGTTCACAGTTCCAGATCCTGAACCCAAGGATGTATGACTTCAAGTCAATTAGTCTTTCTAGAGTTTCATGTCTTCAGCTGTAAAATGCAAGGTTTGTGTCAGGTAACTGGGAAGGTCCTTGCTAGATCTAATGCTCCAGGATTCCCTACAAGGTGTGAGCTCAGGCCACCACTCTCCCAAGGACAACCTGGACCCTCCTTGGGCCACTGTAGTGTGTGCAGCCCTGTAGTGGGTGCCTGTCATGCCCCCTCCATCTCGGGAAGAATGAGATCCAGGCAGCAGGGTTTTGAGTTTTTAAAGGCTCCATCTCAACATTTTCCTCCCTTCTTTTCCTTAAGACTGTGGGCCTCAGACCCTAGGTGTTCAGGCTGTTTTGTGTCTGAGGAGATGTTTAAACCTGTTCAGCAGAGAAAAGCCCAGTGAGGTAAAACTATGAAAATAAGCAGATTCAAAGAGGAGATGAACGATGAGACGAGAGAACGATTTAATTAAAAGGCATCTGCTGTTCAGGAAATGCCTTGAAGCCAGGGATAATACCTTATTTCTCTTTGGACCCTCTGAGCCTAGCAGAGTCCCAGGCAAAGAGGGGGTGCTTACAAAACACCTGATGAAAGAGGGCGTGGACAAAGAATGAGGGGAGTGTCGTCCCAGGAGGTGAGGAAGGGGGTAGGATCTGTAAAACACACAACCCAGAAAAATGCCCTGGGACTCACCTGTCCAGAGTTCCTAAATTTAGATGCCATGGCCCCAGCGACAGCCTGGTCAACATTGGCACTGTCAAACACGATGAATGGGGCATGGCCGCCCAGCTCCATGGACACCCTTTTCACAGAGTTTGCTGCATGATGCAACAGGACCTGGGAGCAGATGAGAGGATGCTGTGAGCACCGAATCAACTACGTGGACCGGTAAGCCTTTGTTTAAAAAAATTACCCAGTAGTGGAAAAAGCCAGGTGCACAGTCGTGTATACGAGATGATAGTTTGTATAAGAAAAGGGGAAAATAAGAATATATGTATTCATATTTGCTTGTATTTGGTAAAGAAACACAAGAAAGATAAAAAAACTAAAAATTACTTATAAAAGGGAGGAAATCAGGGATAGGGGTGAGGGTGAAACTTCTGAATAGAAACATGTTTATACTGTCCCCGTTTTTGAACCATGTCAATGTATGACCTATTAAAAATTTATGATAATTTTGTTATTATAAACAAAAAATTATGATAAAATTATCATAGAGATATGCTAATAAAATCACGCATAACCCCATAACGCATAGCTTACCACTGATAAAATCTTAAGGTATATCTGTCCAGACACCAGGGACATGTGCCTTTTTTTTTAAAGAAAACAGGATGGTAGAGTTACACAGCTTTATAACCTGCTTTATCTTCCCAATTAGTCATATATCTGGAACATCATAACATGCTCACAACACTTTAAACACACCCATATCAGCATGTGTTTCTAGAACATCCTTTAGCTGCTTGCCTAGTATTCCACTGCAGAGCTATTCATTCATTTATTCAGCCCCCATCTGTTGGAAATTTAAGTTGCTTCCAATTCCTTGCTATTAACACAACACTGCAATTATTCCCTCAATATAAATATGTAGAAGTAGAATCACTATAACAACAACAAAAAGAAGTATAATCACTAGCTCAATGCACAACTGTAAGGCTTTTGTTTTGTTTTTGCGGTACGCGGGCCTCTCACTGCTGCGGCCTCTCCCGTTGCGGAGCACAGGCTCCGGACGCACATGCTCAGTGGCCGTGGCTCGCGGGCCCAGCCGCTCCGCAGCATGTGGGATCTTCCCGGACCAGGGAACGAACCCGTGTCCCCTGCATCGGCAGGCGGACTCTCAACCACTGCGCCACCAGGGAAGCCCCTGTAAGGCTTTTTGATACATATAACTATTAGGCTTTAAATATCCAGGAAGAGATTCTTACGACCTAGGAAAGCTGCCCAGGGATGTTTGCTTTATTACACGATAGTAGGTCTTCGTCCAACCACAGCTATGAGAACGATGGACCCACTAGGATGGTTCAAGCGCAATGAACAGTGGTCACAAGCCCAAGGTCACTCCAGGACTGGTCCCTGTGATACACAGCTGTGGGTTTTATGATAGGTCTCTTAGTCAAAATTCAGAAAAGCTGGAAAATTGCTTCAGTGCTGGTACTTCTCTATATGCCCAGATGTTAAGATTCCAGCAATGAACTAGTAAAAACGCTCTTCTCAATGAAATGTTACTATTCAACAAAGTAGTACAAGTTTTAAGATTAAACCTATTTCTTTTTTTTTCAAATTTATTTTATTGATGTATAGTTGATTTACAATGTTGTTAGTTTCTGCTGTACAGCAAAGTGATCCAGATATATATACATATATGTGTGTGTGTGTGTGTGTGTATACTTTTTCATATTCTTTTCCATCATGGTTTATCACAGGATACTGAATATAGTTCCCTGTGCTATGCAGTAGGACCTTATTGTTTATCCAGTCTATATATAATAGTTTGCATCTGCTAATCCCAAACTCCCACTCCATCCCTCCCTCAGCCTCACTCCCCCTTGGCAACCACAAGTCTGTTCTCTATGTCTGGGGTCTGTTTCTGTTTCGTAGATAAGTTCATCTTTCAGATTCCACATATAAGGAATATCATATGGTATTTGTCTTTATCTTTCTGACTTCATGTAGTATGATGATCTCTAGGTCCACCCATATTGCTGCAAATGGCATTGTTTCATTCTTTTTTATGGCTGAGTAGTATTCCACTGTATATACATACCACTCCTTCTTTATCCATTTATCTGTTGATGGACATTTAGGTTACTTCCATGTCTTGGCTACTGTAAATAGTGCTGCTATTAACATAGGGGTGCATGTTATCTTTTCGAATTAGAGTTTTGTCTGTATATATGCCCAGGAGTGAGACTGTTGGATCATATGGCAACTCTATTGGATCATAGTTTTTTGAGGAACCTTCATACTGTTTTCCATAGTGGCTGCACCAGTTTACACTCCTACCAAGTGTAGGAGGGTTCCCTTTTCTCCATACCCTCTCCAGCATTTATTTGTAGACATTTTAATGATGGCCATTCTGACCGGTGTGAGTAAACCTTTTTCTTTTGAATTTTTAAGAACTGCTCTCTGCCAGGCCATTGATTTTTCTGACTCTGCTCGCTCTTGGGTCGCTTGCCTCCACCTGTGTCCTCTGACTGCATCTTCTTGCTACTCAGTGTGCATGATGAGGGCTTGAACCTGCCTCTGGCCTTCATGACCCCTGTGGCACTGCCTGCAGTCCTGCTACGTCTTAAGGAATCCTTTCTGCTCCAGTTCCCCCTGCCGACCTTCTCAGGATCTCAGCTTTCAAAGCCCTAGAAAGGGAACGTGAGTGCCCAGCTCATCTCTCTATGGCCAGGTCACTCGTCCTAGTTCACTGGCCAGCCTATGAATCTGTTTTCCTCGGGTCAAATGACAACTCATGGTTGAATTCTCTGTCGGGGAACAGATGAGGTATTATGTGCTATAAAGCATGGCTGCTGTCCCCGCAGCAGGCCCCGGGAGGGGTGGTCCCCCTGGAAGGAGTGAGGGCAGGGCAGCATCTTCAGAACAGGCTGACCGGATGGGGTTCAGTAGAGGCAAGATTCTACGTTCCAAGATCAGGAGCTCAGCCACTGGTCCTCTGCAAAGATCAGCTCAGAAGAGGTCCCTGGCTATTCCTTTATCAGTGATTCCTATCACTCTTCCCTTTAAACCACTTGAAGTGAATCACTGTCCTGGGTAAATAATTTAAGAGGCACAGTTGGGCTTGGCAGGAACGTGGTTGACATTTTCCTTCGGGGTCTATCCAATGGGGATAGTTCACTGAGCAAAGCGAGGCTGAGTAATGAGTGGCTGGCCTTTGCCCAGCATCTGAGAATTTCTCTGGCTTCAATGGCAAAGGTTTACCACCCTTTTTCCCAGGCCTCTCTCTTTTTCTCTAACTATTGATATCTTGAAACCCTCTGAGAGTAAGTTTGCTCTGCGAGATCCATTGATCAGGGTGGTAGCAGTTTATGGATCTAAAAATTCCTGCTTCTGGAGTGAATGGCAGGCTTCCCAAGTGTGAGTTTATGGCATGACAAATGTGGTTATGGTTGGGAGCTACTAAAATTGCTTTATTCCCTCCTGTTTCTCATGGTGTCAAAAAATGACCAGTTTCGGGCTTCCCTGGTGGCGCAGTGGTTGAGAGTCCGCCTGCCGTTGCAGGGGACACGGGTTCGTGCCCCAGTCCGGGAAGATCCCACGTGCCGCGGAGCGGCTGGGCCCGTGAGCCATGGCCGCTGAGCCTGCGTGTCCGGAGCCTGTGCTCCGCAGTGGGAGAGGCCACAACAGTGAGAGGCCCGCGTACCGCAAAACAAACAAACAAACAAACAAACAAACAAAAAAAGACCAGTTTCACCAAAACTTTCAGATTAGATTTATATTATTTTTATCTGATATATGTTTATGTACGTCTCTAGCATGTGTGTGTGTGTGTGTGTGTGTGTGTGTGTGTGTGTAAATACCAGCAGAAAAAAGTATACTATCTGGAGAGAAACACCATAAATAAGAACTTTTGTTCTCCTCTGCTTTTTTTCTCTTTTGAACATTTAAAAGGATAAGTAAAAATGCACTCACAGGCACACAAATGAAGTTTTTGGGAAAGAATTTTTCAACATATGAGGGGGGAAAAAACGAAAAATAAAAAGACCTTTCTGTTTCTGTAAGCACTTTTATACTAAACACAATTTTTGTTCAATTCTAAGACATCCATTTCTTTAATTCTGGATTATGAAAGAAACATGCATTCCAGAGTTATGGGAATTCCAAAGTTATGGGCAACTTTCAGCTACTTCACATGCAGCAAATAATGGGAACCTTGTCTAACCCTAAACTTTCAGTTTTGTCAAATAGAAACCTGGGTCATGTCACAATAAGAAACAGCATCCAAATATCTCCAGAAAATGACTGGACGTTACGTTATGGGACAGAGCTTTTAACACTCTGCCAGAAATCTTCCTACAAATGGTGATCGAGATGAAATAGTATTTTGATACTCTATAAAGACAAGATATTAGAATGCCATTTGTTTTTTTGAGACTTGAGTCACATACCTTTCCGGTGGCTGTTGAACCAGTAAAGGAAATTTTAGACACTAGGGGATCCGTGCAAAGTGCTTCCCCTACTTCCTTGGCCTTCTTTTGAGAGCAGGGAATAACGTTGTATACACCCGGAGGAATTCCAGCCTGGTCTGCAAGCTGTAAAGAGAAACAGCAAACGTGGCAGCAAATGATCAAACTGGAAAAACAGAAAAGAGAAATAAATAGATGTTTTAATCTAAAATGTAATGACAAAAAAAAAAAAACAACAACAGCTAGGCTGACTTTAGGGACAGAATATATTTGGAACTGAATGAAATAAGATTCTTAATAGTGCTAATGTGATATTAATATGAATGTGTTGTTGGAAGTTTCTGTATGAATTTAAGCACTATTTTATTGTGTGAGTGTGTGTGTGTGTGTGTGTGTGTGTGTGAATACATATATGTATATTTCCTAGCCCTGACACTAAAAGGCCTAGAAACAATGACCAACTAGTAGCAGTGACCATCCCTAGTGCCCCAAATGTAGTCTTAAAATATAATTTCCTACCAGAAGAAATAAGGGCTTTCTGCAAAAATGGTTAATCCCAGGTCTGGGGCAAGAAATATATATAATAAGTCTAAAATATCTTGTCATACTAGCAAGGAAGGTCTCAAAAACAGTTATGTTAAAAGATAAAAGAGCCAACTCGAAGAGGCTGCCATTGGCCAAAAATGGGGGCAATCTGAGCTTCATGAAGGATAATAACCACAGCAAACTGAAATTCATCAAATACGTTAAAATCTACTAGCACACAATGCTACTAACAAACTAATTGGGAACCTTAGGCAGATGACAGGAATAGATGCATTAATTTGGAAAACTGTAAATAAAAAGAAAGAATCAAACATACTGTCTTTCCTATGGGAATTTACCATTGGGTAACCACACAGGAGATGATGGGTAGCTTTGATTTATAGAAGTGGTCTGGTAAATAAATGAAAGAAAAAGGGAAAGAATTCAAATATCACCATTTTTGCACTCCTAATGAATTAACAGACTGAGCGGCATTGCACAGCAATGGCTGCAAATATGAAAACAGAGACACCCAGACATTACTCGCCTCCTGACAAAAGGACACAAAATGGGATCGAACCCAAGTCTGAGGAAGCGTCTGGATGCAGCTGCCAATCTGTGGAAAGTGCAGCAGACAGAGGAACCCAGTGCATGGTGTGCCATCTGCAAAGCCCAGACTATGGGGACCTCTACCGGTCAAATGTGTCACTTCTTCAAAAGATAAATTGTAAGGGACAGAAAAGGATGAAGGGGAATGTGTAGAAAAGGAGAAACTCATCAAACATTAAAAAAGTGAAGGCCACTGCAGGAAGCCTGAATTTTACTCTGAGAGACATGAGAAGCTATTAGAGGGTTTTAAACAGAAGAACAAGATATGATGCAGATTGAGCTGGAGAAGGGAACAGTAAATAAGAGGTCCCTGAATCTGAGAAATGCCCACATTTTAGTCACATTACTATGACTTAATAAAAATGATGGCTAGATATCATTTTTAGGGTAGCCTAAACAATACATTGCCTACAGATGACAGAAAACTCCGTTATTTTTTCTAAAAAGAACATCATCTGGGTTAAAATAATGGCTAGTGAATTAAAACACAACACCATCAATCAGGAGACGCAGGCAAAGAAGGTTTCGAAAGCCTTTCCTTCTGTCCCAGATAACATCCTTTTTTGGACTCTGTGCAGAGAGGCTCACCGCGGCCAAGGCCAGCGCAGAGAAGGGCGTGTCCTCGGCAGGTTTCACCACTACCGTGCAGCCTGCTGCCAGGGCAGCCCCCACTTTCCTCGTGATCATGGCGCTGGGGAAATTCCACTGGATCAGAAGAGAGAGGAGGTAAGTGAGAGGAAGGACTGCCCCCTGGTCCAAAGGCAGGCAGGTAGGGAAGTCAGCCAGCAAATTCCAGTGCACAACTGCCTGGCAGAGCTGTTCTTGCACAGGTGAGCTCTCAGAACACCTGGTACCTGCTGACTGCAGGGACTGGGGAGACAAAGGCTCATAGAGACAGGAAACATCTTCAGAGTTTAAAACAGTACAAAACCATCTACACTCGGGACAGCCAACTTTCTCTGTAAGGGGCCGAGTAGTAAATATTTTAGGCGTTGTGGGATGTCCAGTTTCTGTCACGAGGACTCAAGACCACAGACAATACAGTATGTATATGAATAGGCGTGGCTCTGTCCCAATAAAACTTTATTTACAAACACAGGCAGCAGGCTGGATTTGGCCTGAGGGCCATAGTTTGCTAACCCTGTGGGGGGAAAATATTAGCAAAGGTGATTTTGAAAATGGTAGATGATATATTACTTTCCTCTCTATATTTATAGATAGATAGCTCTCTGTACACATCTGTGTATCTATAGTAACAATGTTTTATTTCAGCAAAAACTCATACAGTGCTTATTCTGTCCCAGGCACTGTTCTAAGCACTTTTAAACTATAATTAATTAAATCCTCATCACAACCCAATGAGGTTGGTATTTTTCTCCTCATTTGCAGGTTTGGACAAAGTGAGACAAAGCAGTTAAGTAATTTGCTCAAGGTCACACAGCTAGTGCAGAGTCGGCTCTGAGTCAAACCTGGTCAGTCTAGGCAGTGAGGGGGGCAGTTCTCTGTAACTATGGGGAGCAGGGAAAGATAAGCAATCTTGAGACCAGCTGGCAGACACTGTAGAGAAGTTAATATGGGATCTAGAAGGTGGACCCAAGAAAGGCAGTTCATGTAGAGAAAGCTGGGTGCCCCACAAGTGTACTGCAGCCCTATCCAGGCAGACACAATATCTTATTTTTTAGCCTTTTTACTTTCAGAACCTGGCCCAGTGCCTGCTGGTAGATACATAAATACTTTGCTGTTGATGATAACCATAAATTAAGCATAAAATTTTCTCAAAACTATAGCACATTTAAAAATTGTCAAACCTTAAGTCTTTTTAAAAAATGATAAATACCAAAGATCTTTTTAGATGTACTAGGCAATGCCAAGAAGAAGCCTTTATGCTAAGTCAGAGGAGCCCCTGGGTCCTCCAGTGGGTCAATCCCCTTCTGCAGGCATTAGAAGTGCCCCCTGGCCACCACCACACCTCTCACACCTATCACAGAAGACCAGGAAGCACACCTCCACATGCAGCAATGGCATCAGGAAGCCAAGAACAGGTGACAGAGCTAACAGGATGAGCACACCTGCTGCAACCCCACTCAACCTCCTCCCCTAGGATCTTGCAGATACTGCCACATACTGGGGTGATGACTGCGGCCACACCGAGGGGCTGCTTGAGGACCAGGGCCCGTTTTTCTTTTGCTGGGGTGTAGATAATGTCTCCGTAAATGCGGCGGGCTTCCTCTGAAAACCACTCCAGGAAATTTGCAGAATAGAGAATTTCTCCCTGTGCCTCCTTTAGTGGCTTTCCCTAAATTAAATCAGAAAAGGACACATTCATTACCTTCTAATAACGAAAGCATGATTCTGAGTTTCTAAATTCTTCAAGGATGCAAGCAGAGCAGGAAAGTCTCCCGTTACAAAACCCACAGGGTACTTGAGAAATTTCTAATGAGAAATAGAATATTTCCTGCCACAACAGTAAACAAAGGATGTCACAGTCATCAGCGATTTGCAGCCCTCCAATGTGAGCTGGTGAGCCCTGAGTGAACTCAGGATGTGAAAACACAGGATACCGGCCCCAGAGAGCTGAGGTGCATATCAAAGGAATGATTTCACTGAGCCCAGAATCTTGCATCTTCCCATACAAAGAAGAGTGCTAAATTCCTTAATTTGGAATCTGGTTTTCTTTACAATAATCTTTTGACATTCAGACTACCTGCTCTTTGTTGCAAAACTTCTGTATAACCTGGCTCTGCACTTCACCTCCTCAGAGCAGTTCTCTCAGGGTTACTTGAGATGCTGCCTCCCGGGCTTGAGGTCCTAAAAATTCCCGCCAAATAAAACAAAACTCTCAACTTTTAGGTTGTGAATATATTTTAAGTCAACAGTAACCTCAGTGTAAGTCTTAGAAAGCAGAATCACAAATGGTGATGGAAGGAAGCCTGCCAGGCTGATAGGAATTGAGTAGGATAATCAAATAGTCAGCTTAGAAACCCCATTAGGGGACTGCAGATAGGGGACTTTAGGGGGCTTTGGGAGACCACAGTAAGGTTAATGATCACTCAAGAAAGTAATGGGAAAATCCTGAAACAATGTGGGCTTGCTTGACTCATAAAGCCGAACAAGTCGCTTAGCATCAAAGCCAGATTGGCTTGCTTAACAAAATCAAGCTAACTTGATTAGCAAGAAAATTATACAACAGAAGCATGAGACATGCCCCAATACAATAAAACAATGGTGGCATGAGACCTACAACCTGCCGGTGGTGTCATCAAGTTAACGACCCCCAGCACATGCCCTGTGCACACAAAAGAATCATTTATGGAAAGGACATTTCAAAGTGAAAGACGCTCATTGTAGTGAGACCTGAAATAATTTTTCCAAAGTGCCATGACAGTCCTGGCCTGACCACGTAGGGACAAAAAACCCAAAGTGGAGGCGGAGCCGATGACGGACATGTGATACCTACTCAAAGACAAAAAAGGTCTTCTCCCCCTCCCCTCTCTTCCTTTGATTATAAAAATAAGTACTTGGGGCAGCACAATGCTTGCCTGCCCGCTTGTAAGCCTCACAAGCAACCTATTCTAATAAGTCACTTAAAAAAATAAATTTATATATTTATTTATGGTTGCATTGGGTCTTTGCTGCTGCACACCGGCTTTCTCTAGTTGAGGTGACCAGGGGCTACTCTTTGTTGCGGTGCATGGGCTTCTCATTGCGGTGGCTTCTCTTGTTGCAGAACACAGGTTCTAGGTGCACGGGCTTCAGTAGTTGTGGCACGTGGGCTCTAGAGTGCAGGCTCAGTAGTTGTGGCACACGGGGTTAGTTGCTCCGCAGCATGTGGGATCTTCCCGGACCAGGGCTTGAACCCATGTCCGCTACATTGGCAGGCGGATTCTTAACCACTGCGCCACCAGGGAAGTCCTAAATCACTTCTTATCTATCACTTTGCCTCTCGTTGAAGTGTTGTTTCTGCGCTGAGACATAAAGGACCAGGCTTCTTGGAGCCCCCCCAAAATGACACCTAACGGTTTCAAGACCACCCTGAGCCACAATCGTCATTTGCATTCTCAATATGTTTACAATTAGGAGGAAGCACCTAGAACTGCCTCTTCAATTTTTTTTCCTTCTAACATCTTCTAAATGTTGTGAATGGTAGAAAGTAATTTTTTAGAGCAACCAAAAAACTGGTACCTTTGAAAATGTACAAAAACAACATGAAAAATCAATCAAAGCAGTCACATGCTAAAAACCTGGAATGGTAGAAAAGCAGTATTCACACAGTTCCGCTCAAAATCTATTTCTTGCATATTATTAAATAGGCATGCCTGACTTAATCTTGTGCCCAAGATAAGAATTAGCTGATATCTGATCATTAGGCAAGGAATTCACGTTTTCTTTAGCTACAGCACTGAAGTTAGAGGCTTCCCCATGCTTCAGTCTAAGAACTCCTGGACAGTTTCTTCAGGTAGTAAGTTAGGGTCCTGAACTTACACTTTCAGCTGTGATTATCTTGGCAAGGTCATCCTTATTTTGTATCATTAAGTCGTACCATTTCCGAAGTAAAGAACTCCTCTCCTGAAAAAGAATTAAAAAATAGTAAAATGCCAAGTGTAAGACTATTAAATAATCTTCAGTTTCCTAAAATATTTGCTGTGTGGTCTGATTCTTGGGGAGACATACATTGACCTTTCCTTTTTTTTAATTGAGGTATAATTGACATACATTATATTTGTTTCAGGTGTACAGATCTTTCTTTGATAAGTGATAACAAAGATCCAGTTTCAAGTTGCATCTAACAAGGTGTGCGGAGTCATAAATTGTTAAGAGAGAAAAAAGTTCTGTGGAACAGCTGTTATTATTTATGGTAAATATGAATAACCTGAATTTCAGCACACTAAGGTATCGTTCCTTACTTTAAAAAAAAAAGTTATGGGGCTTCCCTGGTGGCGCAGTGGTTGAGAGTTCACCTGCCGATGCAGGGGACGCGGGTTCGTGCCCCGGTCCGGGAGGATCCCACGTGCTGCGGAGCGGCTAGGCCCGTGAGCCATGGCCGCTGAGCCTGTGCGTCCAGAGCGTGTGCTCCGCAACGGGAGGGGCCACAGCAGTGAGAGGCCGGTGTAACGCAAAAAAAAAAAAAAAATATGTTTAATTGCCGTGAAATACACTAAAATTTGCCATCTTAATCATTTTTAAGTATGCAGTTCAGTGGCATTAAGCACATTCACAGTGCTGTGCAACAGTCACCACCATCCATCTCCAGAATGCTTTTCATCTTGCAGAACGGAGACGCTGTACCTGTTAAACAATAACTCCACTCCCTGCAGCCTCTGAAAAGCACGATTCTACTTTCTGTCTCTATGAATTTGACTCCTCTAGGTACCTTATATAGGTAGAATCATACAGCCTTTGTCCTGTGACTGGCTTATTTCACTCAACACAATGTCCTCAAGTATAGTTCTTTATTTTAACGACTCACTGGCTAGTTAAATTTGTCCCATAGGCTGGGGTGGAGGTTGCAGGGTGTGTAAGGCTTCTGAAGGGGTTTTGCTCACTTAAGAAGAGGGCCCAGGCACAACACCATGGATGTACTTGATGCCACTGAATGGTACACTTGCAAATGGCTAAAATGGTAAATTTATTTTATATACATTTTATCACAGTTTTTTAAAATTTCCAAAGATAAAAGGATGAATGAATAAATTGGATTATTAAGTATATTATGGAAGAAATGGTTTCTTAAAAAAATTTTTTTAGGGCTTCCCTGGTGGCACAGTGGTTGAGAGTCCGCCTGCTGATGCAGGGGACACGGGTTCGTGCCCCAGTCCGGGAAGATCCCACAAGCCGCGGAGCGGCTGGGCCCGTGAGCCATGGCCGCTGAGCCTGCGTGTCCGGAGCCTGTGCTTCGCAATGGGAGAGGCCACAACAGTGAGAGACCCGCGTACCGCAAAAAAAGAAAAAAAAATTTTTTTTTAAAGGAACTCATATAAAACCATAAATAAAAAGAGGGCCCAGAGAATCCAGGTCAACCAGGCCACACAGAGGTGCCCTGAAGGAAGATGTGCCCCCAAGCTCTGGCTTCCTGCATCCAAATAGGTGTATCCGAAGTAAAGGAGAATCTTTGGTTTATTCCTACCTGCCTGAAAGGTTGCCCACAGCAACGAGCAAACCTGGTTTGTCATTCCGTCATCCTAATCCATCCAGCAGGTTAAGATTTAAATTATTCTCTCATTCCACTCATAAGCAGGGAGCCTGAGTCTGTAAACACCACTAACCACCTTTCTCTGGGTTCTTTCCCTTCCCTATTTTGGATAAGCTAATAAGGTTCATTATCTTAGCTCTCAAGGGTGTTGTTGAGATGAAGTCTTCTGAATCTCAAACCCCCAGAGAACAGGCATTGACAGCTCTTAAAACAGTATTACTACAGTAATTTCACCCTCACTCTGTGCAATACTGGTTAAGAATCTGATGACTGTGGGCCTGTGTGCTGTGACTTATTCTGGGTAAGAAAGGAAAGACTAAAATCTAGGAGGCCCGGCTTAGAGAAAAAAATGAAATATGAGTAAATGGCCTGCAAGGAATAGAGCACCACACATAGTCTGAAAGAGAATGAGAGAAGAACACGGAACAGCATGAGAATGTTAAGAATAAGAAGCAGATTCTGCTTGCTGGCAGAAAACCCAAGGTCCAGTCTGAACACAGAAACCAGCAGAGGCCACAAATTGCCCTCAGTGTGCACGGCCCGTGTTATGGGTTAGTTGCGCCTGCCCAAAAAAGGCGTGTTGGGAGTCCCAATTCCCAGCACCTCAGAGATGGGGAGATGGGGTCTTGACAGAGGTCATCAAGTTAAGACAAGGTCATTGGGATGGGCCTTAACCCACTATGACTGATGCCAATTTGGACAAGACAGAAGCAGGCACAGAGGGACGATGACAGAGAGACACAGGGAGAAGACGGCCATCTACAAGCCAAGGAGAGAGTCCTGGAACCGTTCCTTTCCTCGGAGCCCTCAGAAGGAACCAACCCTGCCGACACCTTGATTTCAGCCTTCTTGCCTCCGGAACTGAGGTGACACATTTCTGTGGTTTAAACCACTAAGTTTGTGGTACTCTGTGACGCCAGCCCCAGGAAACTACTCCAGCCTTTGTAAGGAGCTGAGTAAGTGTGCAGGCCTCAGACAGGGGGCTGGGGAGGCTGGTGGTGGTTGGAGTAATGTGGGGCTCAAATCCCAGACCCTCCACTTGAGCAACAGTGAAGCTACAGAACCAGGAGCCTCTGTAAACCAGTTTCCTCATGCAAAGCATGGCTCGGCTGTCTACCTCACAGGGCCATTGAAAGGACTAAACAAAATGCACCTGAAGCACCAAGAACAGTACTCAGCTGTGGAAGGCACAGTAACGGCCCTCAAAGAGGGCCTCAGCCTAATCCCTGGAACCTGTGAACATATTACTTTACAAGACAGAAGGGATTCTGCCGACATGACTAAGGACCTTGCGGTAAGATGATCCTGAATTACCCAGGTGGGCCCAGTGTAACCAACAAGGATGTCTATAAGAGGGAGAGAGGCGGGACAGAGGCAGCGTGGGAGATGTGATACAGGAGGAGAGGCTGGAGTGCTCTGGGGCCACAGACTGCGGGCAGCTTCTAGAAGCTGGAAAAGGCAAGGAAAGCCCTAGAGTTCCTGAAGGAATGCAGCCCTGCAAACCCGTTTTGGACTTCTGACCTCCAGAAATGTAAGAATAAGTCTGTGTTGTTGCGTTTTGTTAAGTCCCTGAGTTTGGGGTGATTGGTTACAGCAGGCCACAGGAAAGTAATGCATCAGCTTATAAGGCGGTCATTAAACGCGTCAGTAACCATCTTTCCCTGAACTCCAGGAATTCACAAGGTGGAGAAAGGAGGTCATAAAACGTGTGAAAAGAAAGACGTGAAGTAATGCCAAAGATGTCAAGGGGAAGGGCGAGACAAGGGTACGGGCCATGCTACGGGTTCGGGGGAGAGTGACGGAAGGCTGTGGGGTCCAACGGGCGCCATGGCAGAAATAATACACGAGCCAGACCCCAGGAATGGCGGGACATGAGTGGGCCTAGAGAGGAAAGCAGAAAATAGCTGGGGGGCAGCGGGGCGAGCAGCAGAGGCCTCGGGGCAAGAAAGCTGCCTTATAAGCTGCGTTTGCGCCCCACCATCCAAGCTGCAGAGGTGGACCCAGCTTCCTTAGAAAGCCGAACCCACCACTTCCTTAGTAAGACACTCCAAGGTCCTTTCAAGAAGCCCCAGGGAAGATCACCTGACTGCACCTGGAAGAGCTCCAGGGCACTGTAACACCCCTACACGGCAGGCTTGAGGCTGCGGGCCCTGGTGGGGCTCCAAAACAACGGTAGAGGGCCCAGGGCTCAGCCTCGATGCCCACCCTTCCTGTAGGCTCGCCATTCTCACAGCTGTAAGTGCATACGCGTGTTGTCTCTAGTTCAGGCCTCCCTCTCCTGACTCACGTAGCCAACATCCTATTTAACACCCTCACTTGGTGACTAACAACATCTCAGGCTCAAAGTGTCCAAAGCTGAGCTCCAATGTCTCGCCCCAATGCTGCTCCTCTCACCCCCTTCCCATCTCTGGATAGTTACTCCTTCCTTCCAGTGGCTCTGGCCAGAAGCCCTGGGGTCATCATTCCATCCTGTCTTTCTCTCACACCTCGTCTGTAATAATCTGTCAGGGAATCCAGTTGCCTCTACCTTCAAAATATATCCTTTATCAGAACACTCCTCACCGCCTGAACGGCTCCCACCCTAGTGCAGGCCCGTCAGCATCTCCTACATGAATCACTGGCACAGCCTCCTAGCCCTCTGGGCTTCCACCATTGGCCCCCCTTCAGTCTATTCTCTGCACTGTGAATAGACTGGAAACCCTTTGAAATGGAGCCCCGCCTCACTGGTAGTAAAACCCCACTCAGTCCCTAAAACAGCTCTGTAGCCCACTGGATCCAGCACCCTCCTCCTAAGACTCTCCCCCCACGTTAGTTCCCTTAGCACATGGGCCTCCTTGCTGATCTACACCTGTGTCAGGCATGTCCCGGACTCAGGATATTTGCTCCAGCTGAGTTCCCTCGCCTCCTTTGGTCTTTGCATCTCATGTCCTCAATGAGGCCTACCCTGATGTTATAGGGTCCCCCCCCAATTCATATAATCCCCCAGTACCTCAGAACGTGACTGCATTTGGAGATAGGGTCTTGAAAGAGGTTTTTTGTTTTTGTTTTTTTGCGGTACGTGGGCCTCTCACTGTTGTGGCCTCTCCCACTGCGGAGCACAGGCCCTGGACGTGCAGGCTCAGTGGCCATGGCTCATGGGCCCAGCCACTCCGCGGCATGTGGGATCTTCCCGGATCGGGGCACGAACCCGTGTCCCCTGCATCGGCAGGCGGACTCTCAACCACTGCGCCACCAGGGAAGCCCGAAAGAGGTTTTTAAGGTTAAATGAGGTCATTAGGGTGGATTCCTAACCCAATACAACTAGTGTCTTCACAAGAAGAGACTAGGACACTGACAAGTTCAGAGGCAGAAGCATGTGAAGATGGGGGATGACAGCCATCTACAAGCCAGAGAGAGGGGCCTCAGAAGAAACCAACCCTGCCCACACCTTGATAGCAGATTTCTAGCTTCCAGAGCTTTGATACCAGAAATTCCTATCGTTTAAGCCACCTAGTCTGTGATACTCTTATGGCGGCCCTAGCAAACCAATACACCTGCCCACACTACTTACTTTGCATCTTGCCCCTTTTCTCTGGCCTCTGATCCTCTTAGCCTTCCTTCTCTACCTTTTTTTCCCTCATGGCATCCATCACTTCTAACATATTTGTTTAGCTATGTTTTGTTTACAGGTTAGAACTCCCCTCCCACCCCTCACCCCCAAGTGAACTCCAAGAGGGCAGGAATCTTTCTTTTGTTGATTGCTGTATTGCAAGCACCTCCCACAGTGCGTGGCATAGCAGTTGCCCAGACAATATCTAATGGATGAATGAAAGCTACGACTCCCTCGGGTACTTGGACCTTATTGCTGGATTTGTATCTTCCTTCAGAGGGAGGATGCTGACGGACAGGGTGGACAGTCACTTCACTGGGCTGACTCCAGGTGTCACATAATAAATGCTCTAACAGCCCCCATCCTGCACCCCCAATTCTCCACTATTCTCTATGTCAGTTAATACATGGAGCTCTCTAATCAGGCCCCAAACCTGGAGACTGGTCCTGGACTGGTCCATTCCCCTGCTTGATTCTTTTCCCCAATTTTCTCCACTGCCGAGTTTGTGACTCGAGCCCGGGCACTCACTACCAGCCTCCTCATGGACCACTGAAGCAGCCGGGGAGGTGCTTCAGATGCTCTGAAGTCACTCGTGCTCTCACCTTCCCTGACCCTTCCCACCCTCCACCCCCAACACACATGCACACACGCAAGCACGCATTGGCCTGCTCGCTTGTAATCGCATGTTGGTGTTCTGCCTCACCTACTGGATACTTTATGAGGCTTGAGGCTGGGGCTGTGCTCCCTAGCGCCGGCACAGGGCTTGGCACAAAGCCGACGCTCCAAACGGATTTGTTGGCCATCTCTTTTCTTGTTACCATGACTTTCCGCGTGGTGTATCCCGGAGCACTGGGGAGGGGAAGGTGACAGCTGGTTTCACTAGAGGGCAAAGCCCGATCGCCCCCTGGACCCGGCGCGCACTCACCTTGGCCGAGACCCCCCTCCAGCTGCAGAAAGCCTCGTAGGCGGCACGCACGGCGGCCCGGGCCTCGGGTACCCCGCAGTCGGCCACCAAGCCCAGCTCGGCGCCGCTGGCCGGGTCGTGCACCGGGAAGGTGGCGGCGGCCGAGAGCCAGCTGCCGCCCACGAAGCCGTCGGTGCGCAGCAGGGCTGAGGAAAGGCCCGCCGGGCCCCGGGCGTAGCTGCGAATCCGGGCCACCGGGTAGTCGGCGCGGGGACGGAGGACCCGGCTGGGAGGCATCCGCGGGAGGTGCAGGGCCAGGCAGCTCCGCAGCCGAAAACAGGTCGCCATGGCCCAGGCGGCGGCGGCTGCGGCGGCAGGAAGCAGGCAAGCGAGCGTGCGCACCCGAGTGCAGGGATCCAGGCGGCGGCGGCGGGGACGCGCCGGGTGGCGGCGGACGCGGGTTGAAGGTGGCCGAGACGCGAAGCAGCGCCCTCTTCCCGTGCTCTTCGCTCTGCATCTCCAAGCAGTCTGGACCTTAACCCTGAGCGCCGGGCGGCTTGGCTTGTTGCGCGACCTGGGAAGGGTCGCTGGGAGAGGCACCTGAGGACCGCCGTGCCGTCACCTTTGTCCCTCTCGTTTGTCTAACTTTTCCTTAGCCCCTCAACCGCTGCTAGAGAACCGCTCCCTCTCTCCACCACTCCCCCAAACCGGCATTCCCCCGCCACCGGAATTTGTGCTTGGCCCATGGATATGCTGGTGTCTGCCCTAGCTTCTAAGGACGTGATCACTATTCTTTATTGCCATAGCTCCTGTGCACTTAGGATTTGGGGCGAGGGTTCTCCGAGGGGGTGCAGTGTGGTCCACCGTTCTGCTGCCTGGATGCTTTTCTGGGTGTGTGTCTAAGTGTTCTCTCCATTAACTGGGAGCAAGCAGGGGTGCCCATGATATAAACGCCTTTGGAGACGAACAGACTTGGATCTAAGCTCAGAATCTGTTGTTGGCAAAGCTGTGTGACCTTCTACAATTTATTTGTTTAGTCCTTTCAATGGCCCTGTGAGGTAGACAACCGAGCCATGCTTCCTCTCCTTTGTAGAATGGAACAATACCTACCCCATAGGTTTGTTGTGATTTAACATATAATGCTCAGTACAGCATTACTAAGTACGTTAAATTCAGCAGTGTTCAAAGCCATGCTAGCTGCCCTGGTTCAAACAACTAGTAAGACTAAAGTTAGGACACCTACTAGTCAGTGGGACCATTTTGTCAAAATCAATCAAGCAAGGTTTAATCACAATTAGACTTGGCCTAAAACCCTGGAAGTAGCAAGGAAGGCTCAACTTCAATGAGGATAAAAATAAAAATAGCAGGCCTATACTCGGAATTTGTGGGTTCAAATGAAGCCTAACTCTAGGCGTTGATTGGATCACTAGTCTCAAAAAACTCCCCTTCTGTATCTCTCCTGAGTGGAGAGTCTCTTGCTGGCTTTTGCAGAGCCTGTGGGCTCTTCACCTTTTCTAGATTTTTATTTGAAAAAGGCCGAGGCAGTACTTTATATTTTGACTTTGGTTTTTGCTGAGTCACTGTCACTCAGTCTTGAGTCCGTCACATTTGGCAGAAATGGGAATAGCACTTAATAGAGTTTAATCTTTTGTGTGAGTGGGTTCACTTTTTGGTTCTGTATTTTATTGAAGGAATTGGGAGGTGAAAGGCAGTCCTGATGGAGACCACAGCTGACTGGGTATCACATTCGGGACTGGGGAGCTGGTGTGATTCCACCTATTGCCTGCAGAGGGAGCTCTACGGATAGTTGATTTCTAAGGGTTGGGGAAATTCATTCTGCTGAGCAAAAACTAAGTCCCAGAAAAGTGAAGTCCGCTGTGGCTGCCTCTCTCGATCCAAAATTACTCTTATTTTTTCAAGGTTCTATTTCAAGCGGTGCCCACTCTGCCTATAGGGCCCATAGGACTTTTAGGGGTACACAAAAATGTTGACCTTCTTATGAAATCAGAATAAAAAAATAAGCTTTTACATTCAGTATTAATAACCTTTATACCAATGCAGATGTAAAATGTGATTTTTTAAAAATTTGTTTATTTTTATGGAGGAACGAACCCTCCCCCCCACCCCAACCAAGGCAAAAGTGCCCAGGGCCTAGGAAATTCACCATGTCCCTTGCCCTTCTCCCCAACTCACTGTTCTGTGCTCTTTGCAAGTTCCCATTTAGAGTGGGAAAAATTCCCTCCTGGTTCCGGGCTTGCTTCTAGGCCTGCCCAGAGCTGGCCAGTTGTGTTCACCAGGGCTTAAAAGGATAAGACCACCAGGTGACAGGGACCTTTCTTCCTTTCCCCTTGGCTTTCCCCTGTCCTCTACCTCTAATTCTCACTTTCTCCATCCTCTCTTCCATTCACTATAACGGCACTATGATGACAGCAACATATTAGACTGCAGAAGCGAGCTGAAATTGTCTGCTTTATCTCAAAAGTTTCTGGACCTCAAAATTGTATCTCATTTAACTGCGCAAGGAGACCCACCTTCACTTCAAAAGTCCTACCCTGTGTTGGCTTCATACACCAATCTAAACTGTTATAAAAGGTATATTGCTGTATATCTGAGTGTAAAGTTTTTATTTTAAAATTAAATAAGGAATATAGTTACTCAGTAGAAGTCTAAGGTGCCTCTTTTAGAAAGGGAACATTTCTTTTGAATGATAATAGTTAACATTCATTAAACACTTACTGTATACCAGTCACTTTTTTTTTTTTTTTTTTTTTTTTTTGGCGGTATGCGGGCCTGTCACCGTTGTGGCCTCTTCCGTTGGGAGCACAGGCTCCGGACACGCAGGCTCAGCGGCCATGGCTCACGGGCCCAGCCACTCCGAGGCATGTGGGATCTTCCCGGCCCGGGGCACGAACCCGTGTCCCCTGCATCGGCAGGCGGACTCTCAAACACTGCACCACCAGGGAAGCCCTATACCAGCCTCTTTTAAGCATGTTACCTATATACTCATCTTCACGGCAACCCTATATGGTAGGCATTATTATTATCTCCTTTTTTATGGATAATTTTATAAGTAAGGAAACTGAGGCAATGAAACTTTTAGTAACTTGCCCAAGGTCACCCCAATGGAAGGTAGCAGAACAGGGACCCAAATGAAACTCAAGGCCTTGTGGCTCTCAAGCCTGTATCTCCCCACTCATTCCTTAATATACCTGCATGTTTACTTCTCAGCTTGTGTCTCTATTTCCAGAAAGGCTCTAAATGGTAGACTCATGATGTCTATTTTATAACAAAGCTACCTGTATTAGGAAAAGAGGGCGTGGGGTAGAAAGAAAAACAATTCCATACGCCTTTGTCAGGTAGTTTTCTTAATATTGCCAGCTCTATTTTAACTTTCCTTTAAAAGTCATATCTTTGTTACAAGCAGCATTGTCCTACAAAGGCCCTATCTCAAAACCATCACACTGTACTGCCTAAGCAAATAATTCCCTCCCATTCTATTACATACCTAAAATTAAGTCAGTCTGAATCTTAAACACAAAAAATATATGTAATGAGAAATTTGGCATTAATATGGCTTAGTTACTGAATCCTGAACCCATTTCTTTCTCTGGTGTTTTTGGATAGGTTTGCTTTATTAAACCTGATTAGATATTGTCTTCAGGCAGTGTTACATTTTCCCTGTCGACCCTTTGCAACCCTTTACTGTTGTTCATTGAATACTTCTTGGTCTTCTGGGCTTACCAGAGCCCTAAGTTCTAATTGCCTCCCCCTCACTTGCAGGCTTTGGAAAGCCCGGAGTGACAGGGGAGCAAACTCCATGGCCTCTGATGGCCAGAGGGGCATGGCAACCTGTACACGTGTGTGTGGGGTGGGCTGGAGGACTTGGGGAGGGCACCTCTGTCTGTGGAGGGGAGACTGCTGGCGCTTCAGCTTCAGCTGGTGGTCACATCACATGGGAATGTCAGTTCATGTAGCCAGTTTTTTGTTTTGATTTTTTAAAGGGAGCTAGAAATCTAGGTTTCTATGTGGATTTTCCCCATTAAAAAAAAAAAAAGTTGGCCTAAATTTATAAAACACCCTATTTGCCAAACAAAACACATCAGCTTATGGCCTCTGACCAACAAACAGGAGCAGCAGGGCCTCATGCCATCAGGGTTGAGGGAGAGCTCTAGGATTCCTTTCCTTGGGGCTTTGCAGATGCAGAGTTAGGGTTACAGAGGAAACTTGGCAGACACCTAAGGGTCTCAAATCATCCCATCTTCTATTCTTCTATTCCGTTTGGCTAACCTGAGAAGGAATACCGTGTCCTCCCACTCTTTTAAAATCTCCTTTCTTGTTTTTAAAGTATAATATGCATAATTCGAGCTTTAAGATCACCATCATTTCTATGAAGAGTTAAACCTAATGTTTCCCATGGGTTAAGTGCTATAGATTGGATACTTTGTCAGGTGTATTCTGAACCTAGCATTTTCTGAATCCTCCTTTCTTGGTCCTAAATCTGTCTCTCCCCACTTGCCCCTCCACTCCCCACCCACCGACAGTGGTATTGGCATCTTTGTTTGGGCTGCAGAAATCTGACCAGGCAGCAAGCTCTGGATAAGCCCTATAAGAAGAGCCAGAGATAAAAGGACCAGGAGTGGTTGCTGTTGTGTAATCAATCCCACACAAGTGTCATAATTTGTTGCCAGATACTGAAAGAGAAGCTGGTTCCAGCTGATCGTCATAAAAGCTTTCCCAGCCCTTGTGGCTTCAGAGGCTAAAGAGACAGGGTAACCAGATGTACGTGTGGAAAGATGCAAGAGAAATCGGCTCTTGTAAGGTGAGGTGGTCCAATATACCGATTATCAATAGAGACAGGTGAGTCTTTTTTTTTTTTTTTAAAGAAAGCGAAGAATATTTGGAGACAACTTTGCTTGTGTCTCCATCCAGATTTCATGTTAAAAAGAAATCCCGGGGAAAGCGGGGTCAGAAAATGGGAATGCACCACCTAGAGGCATTTAGATTTCAGTTTATCGCTTTTTTCTTTCCCAGGTGGAGTTTGTTTGCTGTTCTGGTGAAGTTAAACAGTAGTTAAACAGTTGACTTCGCTGGAAAATGATATTATTTTGAAATGAGGCTGGGTTTCCCATGTCAGTGACCTGCTTAGCGGGAGAGCAGTGGGTCTGGGACAGGATTTCAGACTCTGTGCTGCCGCAGCTCTGAGCATTTCTCGTCACCATAGGAGCAGGGAGTAATGAGAGCATGTCTACTTTCAGATTCTGGTCAGGAGTGCTGATTGCACTGGGTTCCCTCTGCCCTAGAAGTTCACCGTGTGGCATTTCAACACACATAGAAATAGGTAAGTGCCG